AAGGCGCGCGGAAGGGGGCGGGGCCGGCTCTCCTCAGGGCCCGCGCGCCTTTTTTCCCCCTCAGGGGCTCTCTCTGAGGGGCGCGGCGCTTCTCCGCTTCTCCCCCCCCCCACTCCGACTCCCGCAGCTCCCTCGATCAGAAAGAGAGGAGAGGCAGGTTGTTTTGCTGAGACAGAGAAGGCGGCCGCCCACAGAGGGCTTCCCTCCTCATGTCTTGTCGTGACTACCCTCCGTGCTTTGCTGGCACGGTTGCCCTGAATGAGCTGCAGCCCAGGGGAAGCGCAGGATGCCGAAAGGGCACCGCTTTCCTCTGTCCCTTGTGGGTCCCGTCCTGGTACACCAGCAATTCCTTCCACAGCATCCTTGGAATGTTACCACCAAGGGCAGGAGCTGCCAACCCTGCTTTCAGGGTTGGTAAGAATGTGCAGACAGAAGGTGCCCCAACAGAAAGGAGCTAATCCGTTCAATAAAGAACATAAGCCTCGAGAGGAGGTGTCACGTCGATTTGCTTTTATTTCTCTTTTGCCTTCCATTCGGCTTTGCATTTTATCCAGATGTGGCTGCAGCAGGACGCCGCCTGTATCTCAGTGTTGCCCTCAGGCGGGGTTAAATCAGTCAGCTTGGCTCCAGGTATTTGAATGGAGCTGGGCTTGCCCACCCCTCCATTGCAGGGCAGAAGCATCCTCTTCCCTCACGGGGGCAAGTCAGGCCTTTCCATTCCAGAGCTTTGCAAAAGGCCGATGTGCCTTCAAGGGTAGCTGTCAGCATAGGAAAACTTGGGGATGAAATATCTGTGGACTGATTGCTGCATGGCGCCAAACGTCTTCGGAGAAAGCGGTCTCTCTGAAGGGGCCGGGAAGACGTCCAGGTTTATTTTTGGCAGAGGGAGTTTCACAAAGGGTACAAACCCTTTCATGAGGTAACGTGGGAAGATGTACGGAAAGTAGAAGCCTGTGTTTGAAAGACACCACAGAGAACAAAAAGCAAAGTGAGGAGGAGTACAGTACATCTCCAGGAGTGGCAGGGACATCCTTAGAGTTTTCTTCCTGCTTCTCATTTGATATGTACTAGTATAAATCAGGAGTGAGATGTTTTTATTTTTAACAAGCCAGTGTCCTATCTTTGAAGCAGACTTGATATACAGAAATTCAGACTGGAAGGACAAAGGCTGACTTTCTGCTGCTCAGCAGATGGAGAGCCTTCCAAACCCTCTCAAGCAGATGTCAACTGTGCATGGATTTGTAGGTTAACATTTGGTCTCCTTTCCTTGAAGTTTAGGCATAACTGGCTTTCCTCCCTGCCCTTTCTTTTTACTGTGGTACTTCCAGTTTACTTTGTGTCTGTATAACTATTTGCATGTTGTTTTTATGGGGGGGGGGTGATTTTCTTGCTCAGTTAAAAACAATATATTTTTGTTTTTAACAGAAATACAGTATAGGCCGGCCTCCTGGCGCAGTGGTTAAACTGCTGTACTGCAGCCAAAACCGTGCTTACGACCCAGGGTTCAGTCCCAGGTAGCCAGCTCAAGGTTGACTCAGCCTTCTAACCTTCCGAGGTCGGTAAAATGAGTACCCAGCTCGTGGGGGGGGGGAGCAGATCTTTTCTACTTCCCCCTCCCATATCATCCAACTCTATTAACAGTTGGTGGAGGGTACCCTGCTGACCACTAAATGGACAAGTCTGGCATTGCAGAGCAGAAGCAAGCTCACCCACTGGCATTCAGCCCACCCTGTCCAAAGCTGCTGGGTTTACTTCTCTGCAGGCAAAAATGGGTGGGCATTCCAGACACTTACGCTCAGGTAGTCTCTTCCTCCACATGGTGTTGGTTTCTCCCAGTCTCAGGATTGCCCGTTTCCTGGCATAAAAATGTCAAAACAGTCATTGTGCTGGATCCACTCAAAGCCTTGTCCACAGTTTCCATAACGGTAAGAACAACCTCCCACCAGAACAAACAGATGTTACTGTTAGCAGCCAAAAATGCCTTGCTTTCTACTTGCACATTCCTTGGCAGGAACTCTAGGTTACAATCTGATGTCTTGTTTATTAGTTACCATCTAATTATTACATACGTATGTTTGGCATGTTACTTTTTCTGCCCACCTGGCTCTGGTGCTGTTCTGTGCTGACTCCCAATTCCTTGGTCTCCAAGATAATTTGTTGATTCTTGTTCTTAGTTAAAGGCCATAGCTTTTAAAGAAATAGCTGTGCTAACCCATGCAAACATTATAGCACTTCAAGAGACCGGCAAGTACAGTGGTGCCTCGCACAACAAGTGCACCGTAGAACGACAAATTCACACAACGGGGCCGTTTTTGCGATCGCAAATGCGATCGCATACCGACGGCCCCTATGGCTCAAAATCGCACAGCGAAGGTCGGTAAGCGGTTCGCTTACCGACCTTCGCTTTGCGACCCGCCGATCAGCTGTTCGGAGGCTTCAAAATGGCCACCGGAAGCCCCAAAATGGCCACGCGCAGCATTTTCGCGCCCTCGTTAAGCAAGGGGAGGGCGCGAAAATGGCTGCCGGCCATAGAGAAGCATTGCTGAACGGTGAGTAAAGCTGCTATTGGAACGCATTAAACTAAGTTTAATGCATTCCAAAGGCTTTTTCCTTCCCGCTCAGCGATGTTTTCACACAGCGAGGGTTAATCCGGAACTGATTAACCTCGTATATGTATATTTAATGTGAGCTTTTGTGGATCATGTCTACTTCCTTAGACATTAGGATAAGACTATATGACTGGCATCTTTGTAATCTTAGAACACCAGAGTTGGAAGGGACCCTATGGCTCATGGAGCCCAGCCTCTGTCAAGAGGCCCAGGGGGGAAACGAACTCCCATCCTCAGACTTAAACCACTCAGCTGTCCAGCAATAGATACATGGACTCCTGGCCACAGACTCATAAACTAACTGCTTACTGACATTCTTCACTACCTGATAATGGTATTCTTGTGCCAACAAACCATTGTCATTTTGTCCATCATCTGTATCCTCACAAGTTCATGGAAATTGTGTTCATGCCCATCTCTACAATATGTCATTGGTGAGGCATGTGAGGCATGTGATAGGGACTCCTGACTGACTTTTATCCTCCCAGACAGCAGCAGCGTACTTGCGAATTGGAGGCAGGACCATGACGGTGTCCCTGGGAGTGTCCAAGGCAGCAGAGACCACCCGCTTCATCTCCTCCAGTTCTCTCTCCAACTGCTTTTCCATAAAATGATGGATCGCATCTATGGGATGCACCAAATGCAGCCGCTGCTCAGTGACTTCTGTCCCCTGAAAGAAGTGATGGAGAAGCAAAGAGACAGGCATGACCACTGGTCAGATGGGGAAGGGGCACTGCAGCGGGAAGGAATCAGCTGCCCCACCCTCCCCCTCATTGCTTTTCAGTTTTTTTTATTGTTTCTATGGTATTGTTGTTAGTGATTACTGAATAAATGTGTTGACACAGAGACTTCAAACAAGCAACAGGAATACCTAACCTATAACAATAAAAATGGATAGGTACTGTATATACTTCCACATACTGTAGCTCTGAGGTTAAGAAACCATTTTGCATCAATACAAAAGAGACCCAGGTGGTGTCTTGGGAGGATATGGGTTTTGTACTCCTTATTTCCCAGGACTTGCCGGTGTTCATTTTGTCTGTAGATTGTTTGTTCCTGTGAAGATGAGCCGAGGCCATTTCTCAGGACTGATAACCAAAATATTCCTTGCTAAGGGCGTACCAGGATGCCAGCCTGGGATGAAAAGGAGCTGTGGCAAGTTACAGGATGGGTGTCGTGCTGCAGACAAAGGACTGTATGCTGACTGGATACCATCATGGGATAGAGAGAAGACTCCCTGGAAAAGACCCTGATGTTGGGAAAGGGTGAGGGCAAGAGGAGAAGGGGACAACAGAGAATGAGATTGATGGACAGGGTCACCGAAGTGACCAACATGAATTTGACCCATTTCCAGGAGGCAGTGGAAGACAGGAGGGGCTGGCATGCTCTGGTCCATGGGGTCACAAAGAGTCGGTCATAACTTAATGACCAAACAACAAATGAAAGAAAGGGGAGTTAAGCAAGTTGTCGGTGTGTAAGCCTATGTTGGAGAAGGAAAAAATGGAGGACAGGTTTACAGCCTATGATGATGGATGGGAGACTTAGAATAACCAGTAATTAAGTAGTAAAATTATTAGCTAGCATTTTATTTTATGGAAAAAGCTTGCAGAAGCTTATTTAATGTCTAGATGCTTTGCATTTAACCAGTACAATGGTAACTTTTATATTTTCTTTGTTTTAGAACTTTTTTACTATTTTTGAATAAATATTCTATATTTTACCCCAGTGTGATTTTGGGGGGCAAAATGAAGTGCCTTGGCCACAAGGGCTTTATTTGCTATTTTAGCTGGACAGTGTCTGCGAAGCGACCAGCATGAATCTGACCCAACTCCGGGAGGCCCATGGAAGACAGGAGGGCCTGGCATGTGCTCTGGTCCATAAAGGGGTCACAAAGAGTCGGACACAACGACTAAACACACACACACATCTAGTAGGGCTGGTGTGCAAGTGCCAAAGAACAAGAATTTTAAGCTCAAATACATGTGAGTAGTAATTGGAAATCTAGGGTCAGAAGCTTTCCCATCATTGCTCACACACACCCCAACTAGACCTCACCCAGTCTAGGGTTCATAGGTGGTGGAGGCTGGGAACGACAGTTTGGCTCCTTCCCCGAGTGGCATGCCTGCTCTAAGGAGATGCATTCCTGAAAGTGTTCCTGTCAGGACTGTTTTGTTTTGTTTTTTGTTTTTAATGAATTGATCCTGCCTGGTAAATAATGCTGCTCAGTAAACTTCCAGAGAAGAAAAAGCAGAAGCAAAGACCAAATCAGCACCTCAGTGGGTGAAGAGAAAGATCAGAAAGGAAGAAAATTTGTGGTGGTGAAAGGAGATGCAAGAGAGCGGAAGGTGGGCATGGGGGGGGCAGGTTTTGAGCCTATGTAAGTGTTGTGCTTGTGCTAGAAAAGCAGCATTTCATACTCTAATGTGGTCACAGTTGAAAGAAGGGAAAAATGTCAGAAAATGCAGATGAACAGATTGTGGGAAGAGTTCGTCTCTCTACTGCCATCGGCTCTCTTGACTTCGGAGGACATCTCTTGGCTGCTTCTTTTGCCCTCCATGCTGCAGCAGCCATGGGACAAACCCCCTCCTTGGTGGTTCAGACCTGCCTGTTTGCAGCTACGACAGACTCACTCCCAGACATGATGGGACCCTGGAGGGGGCGGGAAGGCCCAGCCCCTCCAGCACCCTTGACGGGGGCTCTTTTCCACAGGGACGCCTTTCATCATGATAGAAGGCAACTGTTCCAGGGCTCGCCATATCCACTGGACCATCAGCAGCATGTCTGTCGCCTCTTGGTCAAAGCAAGCTGGAGGCATCACCATCACTGGCTGATTCACCAGATAGTTAGTTGTGAAGGCATCAAGAGACACCTCCTAAATTCAAAGCTGATAGAACAGTATCAGCCTATCTGATTCTAACAAGCGTAGGCACAGGGTGGGGTTGGGGGTGCCTTTGGCATTCAGAGAAGGGGGCTGAATGGTGGAAGGAGGACTGCAATGGGCTTCATGGCAGCTTGCATGTTCTTTGATCCGGGAGATTGGTGCCAGAATCACCCCCACCGCCCCATGCAAAGTATTCCCCAGGGTAAGAATGGGCCCCGTAGCAAGTCAAAAGTGTGGTGGCCGGAGGGGGGGGAGAGGAGTAGGTGGGATGCCATTCTGTTTGGGGCCGAGGTCGAGGGTCTGGGCTCCCCCTTAGAAATCTTGCCTGACGACCTGGGTTGCCAGAGGGCGTGGGGCCCCTGCTTGGCTCCAGAGCACCAAAGGAATCTGCCAGCCTCCCCGTTCCATGGCCCCGACCCTTCTGTGTGTGTGTGTGTGTTGGGGGGGGGTGTTCTGTCGCCTGACCTCACCTTCTGGGCTCTCTTCGTGGAGCATTTCCTCTCTGGCCGCTCACCCTTTCCAACGACGGGTTCATCCCCCAAGGGTTCCTCGGTCAGAGCAAAAACAAAAAAAAGGTCAGTAAGGGACCAATATTGCCATCCTTCACAAACAAAACTAAACCAAACCAAAAAGGCAGTGAGGAGGGGCATCTTAGGACAGAACAGGGAGGAACACCCCCCACCCCACCCCAGCACATCACGACAGTTCTCATGTTCGTGTCCCGCCTTCCACTCCCCATAGGATGGAACTTTCCCTCCAAACCCATGACAGACAGGTAACATCAGTGCTGTATGTAACACACACCCCACCCCACCCCAGCACAACACGACAGTTCTCATGTTCAGGACCGAAGGAGCCAGTTTGGCACAGTTCTCTTTTGACTTCTCATGGCAGGGAGGGTTTGGGGGACAGAAAAGGGGAAAGGCCATCTTTCCTTCCCCCCACCCCAGCACTTAAGGTGTTTTCCTGCCGGTTGACAAGAGCTTGGCGAAGCTGTTTTGTGAGAACCCACGGAGAGTGATCAGGGATCGGGGCCCGGCCAGGCAGGGGGAACCAGAAGAGAAAGCCTGGCCTGGCCTGAGAGCTCTGGGATAAAAAAAACAAACAAACGGGCTGGGTGAACTCCTGGGGTTTTTCTGTCGTGGTGCCCTCACCTCCTGGTCCCTCCTTGCGGGGACTCTGCCCTCCTGCTGCTCCTCCAGGCCCAGGTCGTCCCTCATCTCTTCCCGGGAGGGGAGAAAAGGGGCAAATATGCCCAGGAGAGATCAATAGTGCCGTTGCTCAGCTCATTATCCAGCCACATTTTGAAAACAGCTACCCTGGAGGTCCCTGGCAGGGTGGGGGGGGTGAGGATCACTCTCTGCTCAGGAACAATTCAAGGAGAAAGTCCCCACTCGATCGAACTGGCTGTGTTGGGCTGATCTGCAGGGCTCACCTTTTCTGCCCCCTCTCGATGCCCATAGAACGCCTTCTCTGCCTCTGGTGGAGTTCCCTCTTGGCCTGCAGCAGCGCCCCTCTTCTCCTGGGTTGAACAGAAAAACACGCCAGAAGCCGGCTCTGAAATGGTTCACCTTGCATCACACAAAGGGGACTTGGGAGAAGCCCCTCTTCCCCCCCCCTTCTCCAGGATCCAGACGGCAGGCTCCGTGGAACGGAAAACTATCTTCTTGGGCTTTGTACCACAACAAGTACATAGGTAGCACATCTCAAGACATGCTATTTTTTGAAAAGCTTTTCTCTTCAACACACTTTGGTTTGGCTTGATTCATTCTGCTTTCTCGTCCTATCTTTTCCCAACTGAATTCCAGGCGTCGTCCATGGTGGGGCAGAAACTGGGCGAAGAGAGACGTCTCAATACCTGGGAGAAAGGACAAAGTGCCCCCGCCATCCCATGTAGAGATGGTGACTGGATGGGCACCTGGTTCTTCCTTCAACAGTGGATGTGAGTTGTCCTTCCCTGGACCCAATGGCAGAAAGCTAGCCAAGAAGGGGGTTGAGAACAGAACAGAACAGGAGGGCTGCCTTACTCTGCTTAACAGTAAGACTAGCCCAGCACAGAATTCCCAAAAGATCTCCCATCCAGGTACCAGCTAGGTCCACTCCTGCTCACAACCATCAGCAAGAATGCAGGGATTCTGACACCTGAGCACCTCCCTAAGGGTCCTACAGAACTGTACAGACCACCAGGGGGGAAAAAAGCAGAAGCCTGTGTTTGTCACAGCTGGCATTTATCCCAGTTAAGGGTTAATTCCAGAATGAAACCAGACCATCATTCCCAATCATATCAAAATTCATCTGGGTATCAAGGTCTAAGTCTTTTCACTGTTGCAATGATTCCAGGCAACATCAGCATGTCTTAATTCTACCACCTTTATTTCTTTACATCACTTCTCTGTCCCATAAGCACAGAAATACTTCAAAGTTTAAGGACATCAAAAAGTCTTACAGCTATATAAAAACTGTAGTTACAAATACTTAATTCAATAAACTTTTTCTAGTGTCTCTGCACTTCCTGTAACTCCAGGGCTTTGTAACTTGAAACCTAGCAAGATGCCACTATAATGATATTGTCTCTGTTTTGACTAAAATTCTGCAAAGAATTAGAGGAATAAAGCCTTTTGACACCAGGTTCCTGGACTGCCAAAATATTATAACACCAAGCCCCTGGAATGCCAGGCTATTGTAGCTCCAAGGTATTGGAGCTGCAAAGAATAGGATCTGAGAATGCCACCTCCATATTTGTGCATGGTAACATAAACACATTCAGCTGTCAGGATGTTACAGTACAGTGATCTTGCACAGCTGGAGAACCAGCTGATTGTTTTCGAAATTACTACAGTAAACTATTATTCAAGCCTCAATTTTAAAAGCACTTTCATTTTTGTGGCTACTTTTTTATACCACTCTTTGTTTTACTACTTTGTACACCCCAAATTTCACACCTTGACAAAGGTATCCCATCCAGTGCCTTTTAGACCATAGCCCTGGGATGCTCAAGGACAACAACAGATGGTGCCTATCTCAGCAAAGGGTTCTTGTGATGCACCAAAGACCAGCAAGTTTTATCGGGTACAAGTTTTGTTTTTGGGATGGCAACCTCTTATACTCAGAGGCCATGATTCCAGAAGATACATCTGTGTGTGTGGGGGGGAGGATGGTGTTGTTTTTTGTTTGTTTGTTTGTTTGTTTGTTTGTTTGTTTGTTTGTTTTTTGCTACCACAGATGGCAAAATAACATCATTACTTACTGAAAATTATTGGTTTAGGTAAATTTTCATTCTGTACATGCTTTTGTAAACTAGTTGGTGTTGTGATAAGGGAGAAATAGAATCAAGTTACCAAAAAAATCACCTCTTCAAAGCTCACAGAGGAGTATTTCCACTCTGGCTGCTCCTCAAAGTTGTCTTCATCTTCCTCAGGGCTCATATGTTCCTGGGTCAAAAGGATAACATCCCAATTGGAAATCATGCAGGACATGTCATGGGCATGGCATTTAAATAGGTTTTGATGCATTTCAGGAAGACTGCTCATTTATCATTTGAGTCCGTTTGCAGTAACTATTGCCATGTACGAGCTATTGTGTTTTTTTGTGGGTTGTTTTGTTTTGTTAATTGCCTAGAAAGTTGATAAGACAGATCATAAAATACAGGCATCTGGAATGTCTCTGGAGTCTCAGCAGCAGGGAGATCTCTGTGGGAAGGGGAAGCTGAGATGAACGAGGAGGAGGAGGCCACCTCTAAAAAGGCATTGGCATCACCCCCTCACCGCCACCCCGTCCCATGCCCAAGGGCAGCCTACCCAGAGTGGACTCTCCGTGGATCGCAGCTCCGTCAGGGAGATCTCAGACAGAGACTTCTGCTCCGCCAGAACCTCCTGGCCCAGAAAACGTCTTCGGAATTCCTGGAAGAAAAAGACATTCACTGGCCCAAAGTCATCATGGACCTTGCGGCCAGGAGAGCAGGTGTCCCCAATGGGCTTTGCAGAAGGCTCGTGGCCCAGTGCTGGCCCAAACCCCATCCTGGTTGAGCTTGTCGGGTCCGACCGCAGCAGCCACATTTGCTGCACAAGGGTGTGGCACCGGAGAAGGCCTCACGCTGACAAGGACAAAGCCTTGTCTTTTCCCCGAGGCAGCAGGAGGTAGATTTCAAAGGAGAACAGCACCCACACAACGCAGCCCCGTGGGAAAGCTCAGGAGGGTGGGGTGGGGTGGCCTTGCTCCCCTGCAGCCACAGCCGGGTCACCGGGAGACCCTGACTTTGTATCTTCCCCTGACCCAAGATGACCAAGGATGCAGGCAGGCTTCAAGGGTCCGGGAGCCTAATGGCATTGGTATGTCCTGCTGGGGCTCTTATGGACTGTATTTCTCCCCTGCTGCCACCTTACTTTCACATTGGGAAGGGAGGCATGAAAGAGGCACATCTAGGCATGCCATCCTATACTACCAGGGGACTTAGTGACAGACAAACACATGTGGAATTATGCTATAAACCTGTTACAGGTCACCTTGCCTTAGGTAAAACCTTCACGGGGCGCCTGAGGCACCCAAGACCATTCCCATTATTTGTGGAGCAACTGCTCTGTAGGAGGCCTCAGATGTGTGAGACCACGTCCACGCCCCTGGCACTCTCGGGCATTGCGCTACCTGGTGACGTGGAGATGACATCGCTGGTGCTCAGCGAGGAAGATGTGGGGAGAAGCAAGCACAGGAAAGGAACAGGAGGCAGGGGGACTCTCTGGTACACCGAAAAGCCCGGGGGCATTTGCGGCCTGTTCCCAGATATTTGACAGCAAGGGTCTGTGACTCAGGATTTGGGTTTGAACGAAAGCACGTCACTTCCAGCGTCCCTCGCTTGGAGCCAGAATGGAGCTGGACATTTCTGTCAGGCGCACAAAACCCACTGCCCCTCGTAATTTGGGGCTTAGGCGTGGGAGGCTGTGTCACCGCAGAAGCTCTGATCCTCTCTAAAAGGCGTCACCTTTCCTGGAGGACACGTTGGAGAGACGAGACATGCCTCAGAGACACACAGCACTGAGCCGTTGTGATTCGCAGGACCTCTTTGGGTGGAGGGTCCTCCCAGGATGAGCGTGGTGGGCAGAAGGGTGCTCAGTATCAGGGGCCTGTGTCTGGTGTGGACAAAGGTCCTGATCCAACCGAGAGCATCGGTTAGGCATTGTGGCCTGAGCTAGTTCCTGCTCTCATCTAGGTCCTGTAAGGCGTAACCTGGCATCTGGGCACCAAACCAGAATACACGGGTGCACCACAAGCAAGGGGAAAGCATGCTCTGAAGTCCTGCACCCCCGCCCTCCCTTTCTCTGGGGAATCGCTCCGTGCCCACCCCAGCCGTGTCCTTCCTGGGACCGCAGACGGGACAAGCACAGAGGCAGCAACCTCTCGCTGTCCCTCTCCTGGCCTGCTGGAGAAACGGGCCACAGAGAACGAGTACCTGCCATCGTTTTACCTCCTGTTTGAGGGCATGGATTACTGTGATGGGGGGGAGACATTCCTTCCTTGGGACCTGGACTGAGAATCCGCCCCCCCTCCCGTCCCTTTCTCCTCTCCCCACTTCCGGCCATCGGCACCTGGAGCTCCTGCATCGCTCCGTCCAGCCACTGCTTGCTCCTTCTCCGCACCGACTCTTTGGTCTCCTGCTCCCCCACCGGCCAGGACTCCAGCTCCTTGTAGAAGTAGTCGTGGGGATCCTGCACACCCACGTCCTGTATCAGATCCTTCACAGCTGCCCTGGAAGGAGAAGGCGCCACAAAGGCGTGAGTCTGAGAGGGGATGAGAGAGGGAGAGGAGCGCCAGGCAAGCAGGCCAGCAGCTTCCTGCAGGAAGATCCACAGCGCCGTCTGAGGCCCCTCTCTCAGAGCACCACGGCCCTCCTCCAGCCCCTGTGGCAGGACTATAAACGGGCCAGCCAACGTCTCTCTGCCTAGAGGAAAGGAGGGCAGCTGGTGCAGGAGCTGAGACACTTTCCAGCACCTGTTTCTGGAGAAGGAGGGGCTTCCGCCTGCCATCCCTCAGACGCTCCCAACCCATGGCAGTGGGACGAACCCCTTGCCAGTGGGAGCAGAGCCCAAGGGTGTCTCCTAGGCCTGCCCCCTTAGCGCCCCGCCCCACCGCTTGGCGAAGAAAGCGGTGGGTCACCAAAAGCCAGCTGCCCTTGCCAAGCTGGCCCCGGCCGGCTCCCGTCCTCCTCTTCCTCCGGCGCGCACACGCAGGCCTGGCCGGCTCTCACCTGAAGGGGGGAGGGGCCATCACGTAGTAGGTCACCAGCTCCACCATCAGCTCCTTGCTGTCCTTGTTGATATCCATGAGGGCACGCAGGGAGGCCAAGATGAACTTCCTCTGGCTTCTCTCCTAGAAGGGGAAGGAGGAAGGGAGAGGCTCTCCACCGGCCGGCCGTTCAGCCTTTCCACCCGGCTCAACCAGGGGCCACTCCGGCTGGAACCAGAGGGCCAGCGCAGGCATCCGTGGCAGGACAAGGGGTGCGGCCGACAGGCAGACCGATCACCACGCGCTAGCCTGGGCTCCGGGGTCCATCACGCTGCCGTGGGTTGGCGTGCCTGGGGGATTGCAGGGGGGAGCCCCTTCTTCCCCAGACACAGGTGCCGGGAAGTAGCCTCTTGTTGATTGCTATGTTGGGGGTCCCTTCCTCCTCCTCCCCCTCCTCCTCCTCCAGTGTTCATTGCTCCGCTTGGCCAAAAGCAGACCCGCATGGGTCTCCTTCTTTGGAGGTTTTTAAGCAGAGGCCGGATGGCCCTCGGTCGGTCGGGAGTGCGTTGACAGAGTTCCTGCACGGCAGGGGGCTGGACTCGATGTGGTCTCTTCCAACTCTGTGATTCTATGAGCTTTTCTCCATCAGGGCAGCCAGATTTAAGAGGCTTTTAAAAATAAATAGGGGGTCTTTCCTGCTTCCAACTCTGTGATTCTATGATTCCATGGGCTTTTCTCCATCAGGGCAGCCAGCTTTAAGAGGCTTTTAAAAATAAGTCGGGGGTCTTTCCTGACGTATATCCCTGAAGGGATTTCCTGAAACAAAGCTTAAAACCCCCACCCACTTTTCTGGGTTAATCATCACTTTCCCAAGTATGTAGTTCTTCCTGTTCAGTGGCCACCAAGCCCAGCGCGAAGCCAGGAGGAAGAATGTCAGGTCTCTGCCCTGGAATGTCCCTGCCCGTGTAGCCCGATATCACCTCCTCTGACCTGCAGGGACTCTCTGGGAAAGAAAGAGGGTCTCTTCCACCACTACCCCAACCCCCAGATCCAGAACCCCCATCAGGTGGGGATGCCAAGACGGGAACGTTCCCTGTGGAAAGCCAACAGTGGGTACCTATGGGTCTGGAAGGGTGGAGGTCCCAGCCGGGGGACCATTTCCCTCACTGGCCATGAGGATCTCCTTCCACACGACACCCACAGCCATGGAGGCCTCTGAGCTGCAAGAAAAGCAGCCTCTGCTAGACTTCTTGTTTTATGGGGGGGGCAGTGCTGTAGCTTCACATTTTGACCACAAAAGGAGGCAACCTGATTTCGAGAAGGGCCTCTGAGTTGTTTGCAGCCAACTCCCTTCCACACCTATTGGAAGGGCCTGGACACCATGCCACTGACCCTCAGGGGGAAGGAGAGAGAGGGGGGTCTCCTCGGGTTTCCTGGCCTGTCTTTTACCTGCTCTGACCTTCTTTCAGGCTTAGGCAGCTATTGCCGATGTCACATCCTTCATTCTCACACCTTACCTTTGTTCTCTAGAGAGGAAAGGGGCAAGCGCAGCCCCTGACCTCTCCAACCGGGTTAGGGAGAACTAGAACTTTGGTCATCCTTCCTATCCCAAGGGTCTTTCTCTAACGAGCATAAGCTTGCTGGTTTTCTTAGAAAGAAGTGTGGTTGTGTGTTTCCTTTACAAAGGAGGAAGTGGGCTCAGGTCATGACTCTGAGCCTTAAAAGGCTGAAATCCACAAGCCGCATGGGTACTCTCCTCCACCACCACCACCAATAACAACCTTTTAATTTCCTTTGGACCTCAGCATTACTTCCACAAGTTCCCAGTAGACAAGGCCTCTGCTCTTTCTGGGAGCAATTGCTCAACAGCAGAAGAAGCTTTAGCCAATGGTCAGGGAAGGGAGGGTGCGACTAGACAGCAGGAAGCGGTGGCCTCAGAAGTCAGGTTTCGCCTCCATTAATTTACTTCAGCCCACCACATACTGTAGCACCCAGCAGTGGAGAGAAGGGAGGAAATCAGCCTTTCTGCCCAGCCTGGAAATGGCTTGAAATACAGCGGCAACAAACCCCTCTCTATCAGCTTAGGTTATCCAGGCCGAACCGATGTGTATGCATTTGCTGTCAAAGAAGTAGAAGCCCCAGTCCGTCTGATCTGAGCCGCCCACCGCTCCACACAGGCGCCCCTAGAGAAGAGGCTTGAAATGATTACCTGGAGAGCCGGGAACAAGTGGAGGCCCACCCTGAAAGGGCTGAAGGAAACCAGCGGGCGCCTCCCTCACCTGCATGGATGGGCTCCCTTCCTTCATGTTCAGAACATGAAGCAGGGTCTTGTAGACCGTCTGCCTCATGCGATCCTTCAGTTGCTCCTTCAAGGACAAAACAGCACCAAGTAACTCTGTCTTTGTGTTGAAGTCAGCAGTGACTATGTTGCCCAGAAGCATGGCCAGGAATTGCTGGAGGGTCGTCTCAGGTGGAAAGCCCTGGAGAGGAGGAGGAGGAAGAAGAGGAGAAGAAGCTGCTCAGAAGCACCTCCGACCAGTCTGGTTTTCCTCTTCCTCCTCACACCAGAAAGGCCACAAGCTTCACCAGTCCACTCAATGCCCAAAGCCCAGGGGCTTCAAAAAAAAGAGAGAAGGCGATACAGGCAATGCTACAGAGCAAACCACCTCCGCCACCACCAGCACCAGATACAGGCAATGCTACAGAGCAAACCACCCCCTCTACCCCACCACCTCCGCCACCAGCAGTGTGCAGGAGAGCTCTGCAAGGCCAGAGACTCCTGAACCTACGACTAGTCTTATGCATCCCAGAAAGGGGATCCGCTCATTCCTGCAACTCTCTCAGCATTCCATAATGTCTAAAATTCACACAATTCATAGGATCAATTCTCCCCCCTCCCTCCATGTTCCACTCACAATGTGCACACAGTAAGAAGCATCTCCCCTTCCATGGGTGAAAGAATGCTGGGTTTCTGTCTTACCCTGTTTCTCTGATCAAGTCATCCCGGAAACTGAGGCCAAGTCTTGACGTTTAGAAGACATACTGAGTATGAAGCGGACAGATCCATGTCTCCTGAACGTTAGGACTTGCAATTCATGCACAAGAGGATGGAAGATCCAGCAGGAAACGTCCATGGCAGCACACACAAACACACGCACACATACATACATGTATGCATCCATAAGCACACACGGACACACACACACACAGAGCAAGCCTTAACCTCAGGCACAGGGCAATCCAGCAGGAGCTGCACAA